ATGATAAAAAAAAACAATTTTCTATAAACGATAATGCTTAAAATGTATGATATAACTTTAAATAAATTAACCTATCTAATGTTATGTTTTTTAAAAATATTCCATTTATTCATGGCAGTATATTTTGTTTGCCAATTAGATGATTAATACGATATTATAAATGTTCGTTAATAAACATAACTTCTTCAAAAAGTTTGTTCATGTTTATATTAAAAGTATTCAATAGTTTTACAATTTCATAAAATATTTCAAAATTTGACAGTTTTAATGTATTATCAGTTTTGAAGTTGACAAGTTTACAGTTAAAGATTTTTCATTGAAATCAAATCTGTGTTATAAATGTTTAAAATTTTGTTTTCAAAACATCTTTATCTTTCTAATAATTTCATACTTAAAAAATTTATTCACAATTCTCTAAGTGAATTGTTGCTTAAGATCTTTTAGAATTGCATACAAGCCAATCACTGTGATACTATTTTTTCTAATAATTTTTTATATTAAATTTAGAATTTTATATTTTAACAAAGATTTTTATTATGTTCACAAATTCCTATACATGCATTCAGAAATTAATTGAGAACATTCAATTAATTTCTGAATGCATGTATAGGAATATTCTTTTTAATTTTATTTTCCCAGCTGTTATGTATACTTAACAAGGAAAGTATTGGAATTACAGTGGTGCCTCGTATAACGTACTTAATCCATTCCAGGTACACGTCTGTTAAGTGAAAAGTCTATTATACGAAACGCATTTTCCCATAGAAATACATGTTAAAACATATAATTCGTTTTGCAGCATAGAATAATCATACTGTACTATTAAAAAAAAATGAAAATGGAGCAGTTACCAATTATGCTAGGTAGTCAGATAATGTAAGGAGGAGATGGCGGAACACTTTCTTCACACATTGATACAGATATAGACTTTTTACACATTGCAGCAGGTCTCTTTATTGTTTTTAATCGGAGTAAGATTCAGGAGAGGCTACCGGAGCTTGCAGGATCATCTCCTCTTGTTCCATCCTGTTTTTTGGCAGCTTGCTTCTTAAAAAAACATGTCCAAGGTGGTCTGTTTCTCTCTCTTCTTCAACACCTGTCGGAAATGACGGGCAAGGGTGATTGATCCTGTTGGCCTCAGCTCTGTTTGGATAATGAGTGTTGGTAAACTCCTGAACCTCTACCCATTGGACAAGGAAGTTTTTGTCAACTTTCACTCCTTCTGATGATGTCTTGCTTTGTTTCAATTCAAATCATCTTTCTGTTTTTTTAGAAGCCATGATTTGCACAACACTTGAATAAATGTAAATACACTGCACTGAGGTGATGTACGTAATAAACAAGGGAGCAAGCCGAATTCCAACGGGAGCTCTGTACTTCAGATATACTAATAATATATTCTAACAATACTAATATATTATAAAAATAGCAGATTGTCATTGGCAACGGCAAAAGAGTGGAAACATCATTCGCACTTATTCACAGAAAGACCGTTGTTCGCCTCACATAACTGCCGAATGGAAAGTCTGTTGTTTGCAGCCAGTCCATTGCTCGAGTCACGTAACAGCCAAACAGAAAGTCCGTTGTTCGCAGCGTCCGTTATACGAGGCATCACTATATGTCAAATTTGACCATCAGAGATTTTCTTGCAAGTCTCCATGTTTTGAGATCTCCTGAACCCAAAAAAAGTAAAAAAAAACAGCAATAAAATTCTGTGGATGTATGTATGGGTGTTTATTTCACTTAATTTCTCAGGACAGGGTGAAGATAAAGAAACAAAATTTGGCACAGCAACTTGTGTATGAACGGCATTGATGCTATTAAATTTTGGTGGTGAAATATTGAGGGGGTGGGTAGATAGAGGGAGCCATGTGTCATATCTCAAGTGGGAATTAGACTTAATGAAGATGTTATACTTTATTAATATTTACAATTTTTTATGAAACTGATCACTACTCTTAAAATTAAGCATTTTACCGTTTGATAATAAAATTGTGTATAATACCATCTGTTACGTTATTATATATTGTAATTAAAAACAAAAGTTATTTTCTAAATAAGATCTCATAATAGCTGAAAAAGTTATAAAACTCGTTGCTAAATTTTTTGCTAACTGTATTTGCTCAATTTTGAAAGTTTGAAAAGCTGTTCCAGAAATCATTTATTGTAGAAATGAAATGAGAAAGACTCAAAAATATATTCTTTGAAAATAAATTTTAGTTAACTTAAAAGCATATTGTCTCTCTTCCCTGCTACAAATCTTATTTTTAGATAATAAATTTTTCACATAGATGCTTCTATAGTCAATCCCTTTTAGAATGCTGCATTTCTAAAAGTAAGAAAAATATCTCATCACAAATACCCCTAATTATCATTATATATAACACACCTTTTATGTTGCTGAGATAGTTTTATTGAAAACGTTTTTGGCCTATTCAATAGACCATCTTCAGATTGAACAAGAGAATTGGAACATTGGTGTTCCAAAAATAAAATACATGTATTAAATTCTAAAATTGACAATGGAAAAAATAAGAAAATATCAGAAAAATAATATATATAAATATAAAATAAAAACAAACTCAGATATAGTAATAAAAATAAAAATCCACTAAATTCTTTGAACAAACATTAAAATAAGTTAAAGGTATATTGATGAAACATGCAATTATAAACTAAGGTATAAATTATGAGTTCATGGTAAACTTTTCAACTATGATCCCAGTAAGGTCACAAAGTTTACATATTACAGAAATATGAAAGGAATTATGAAAGAAATTGTGGACTGTAAGGAGTCAAGAATGGTTCTGAAAAGAGCTCTGAACCTATATACAATTTTAAGGAATGACAAAGATAACATTAAGAAAGAAGAAAAAGCAGGGGTGTACAAGATTCCTTATGAAGACATACAACTAGGAATCAAGAAAGAATATATTAGCATCACAACAAGAAACCTGGGAGTAAGGCTTAAAGAACACAACTTCCTCCCTAAAAGATTCCAATACAACAGTACTTTCCCAGATGGTGCAGACTAAAGGCTTGATAGTGAAATGGGATGAAGTGGATATTGTCAAACCCTTGCACACCAACATTAGCAAGGACTGCTGAGAAAATTGAAATTTACAGAAACAAACTGGAAGAGGCATGCATAAATGCAAGGGACATAGAAGGCCTACCATCAGCTTGGAAATTTATAGTTGAAAAGTTTGCCATGAACTCATAATTTATACCTTAGTTTATAATTGCATGTTTCATCAATATACCTTAATAATTGATTTTAATGTTTGTTCAAAGTATTATTAGTAGATTTTTATTTTTATTACTATATCTCAGTTTGTTTTTATTTTATATTTATATATATTATTTTTCTGTTATTTTCTTATTTTTTCCATTGTCAATTTTTCAATTTAAATATATGTATTCTATTTTTGGAATGCCGATGTTCCAATTCTCTGGTTTAACCTGAGGATGGATGGCCTATCAAATAGGCCGAAAATGTTACTTTTCAATAAAACTCTCAGCAACATAAAAGGTTTGTTATGATAATCTAATTATTTGCTGAGCACATTCTTTTAAATACCCCTAATACTGAAGAGTATTATATTTAAAAGTTAAGCAGTTTGATGCTATTTGTGATAAGTCAAGATTTATTTCTATAATGTTTGAATGCACAAGACTGAAATGTTTATGAAATAATTTTTAAAAATTGTAAAATTATCTCCCAGAAACTCTATATCCTAGGATTTTATAATTGCATTTTATATTTTGATTGAAGTTTCTATTTAGAACAATGAAAATGGCTTAACTGAATTTAATCTCTTTTCTAAGTTAAATTATTGAATTTCACAAATTAAACATATTAACTAAATATCCTGAACATATATTTAAAAATATGAAAATTAAATAAATTCATAGTATATTAATGTCATCTCTTATGAAAATGACTTTCCATATCTGTTGTTTAATTTTTATTCCACAGTAAAAATTACATAACAGACATGAAATAACATTTTAGTATATTTTGTATTATTGAAGGCATAAACTTTTCATATTTATGCAAACAAGCTGATAATGAATTTATTATACATCGCTATCATATAAAGTGATTTAAAATTTATATCATTCACAACAACAATAAAATTTCTCTTGTTAAATATTTTTAAAATATTTATTAATATGAAAATCTTATTTTCTTTTAATTACAATTTGACAAAAATTCCAATAAAATTCTTAAACTAAACTTTTTCTGCCTGCTATTTTTTTTTTTAACTTTTCTATATACAAAATAAATATCTATACTATAATTTTTAACTGAAAAATTATATTTTTAACATTTTTTTGTATTAAGAAATCTTTTATTTTTCTGTTTACATTTTGTTCTTAACACCAGATTCTGTACACTATGTGCAATGTCTACAAATTGCATAAAAGAAATACATAAAAATAGAAAATTACAAAATAAAGTCGACAATGAATATTTTACAATTTAGCATAAAATTTACTTGAAGATAAGATTTTCCTATGGATGAAAAGACAAAAATTAAACTAGTATTCAAAAGATCTGAAAATATCCCGCTAAGAAATAATAATTATATATTATGAAAAATTTGTTTATGATTTCAATATGCATATATATATATTGTATGATACATTATTTGTTGTCTTATTGGTAAAAATACTCTGACAATTGTAATAATGTACATTCAGTCACGTTAACATATTTACAACCAAATTTTCAAGTGGAAAAAGAAAAAGCATTTGTAATTAATCACAAAGCAATTACATATAAATACATATTTCATTGTGTTGATTAATTGAATACTTTGCATCAATCATTTAATTTATTGATATATGGCTAGCTAGTCAATTCACCAATCAACACATTGAAAAATGGACACTTATTTTTGAAATTATAAATACTGAAAAATATAGTGTTTGCACAAATTTGATATATGTATATTATCTGTCCAAAAATTTCCAGAAATAAAACTTTTATACTACTCACAATCATTTCTTACAAATAACATACTATAATACAATTATCAACATTTATTTTCATACGATACTTGTTTTGGCATACCGCATTGCAATTATATCAAAACTGGAATTACCCATAACATTTTTTGTGATGGCATTTATCATTTATTTTTATATGTTTTCGTAACTAAATGAATGGCAATTCACTGTTAACAGATATATTTTCCTCTCTTTTTGATCAACCAATTTAAGAAAAAGTTTGTTTTTATCTGTTGACAATCAATTTGCAAATACTGAAAACAGAAAAACAAATTTCAGAGATTGAAATTTATGATGTTTTCATTCTTGCATCTAGAAAATCTTTCACACAATTTTTATATTGAAATAATAATTTACAAAAGTGGTTGATGTTGAATACTTTGAGTCTGAGGAAAATTAGGAGTCACATGAATGGGAAAGGGCCCAGTAGCTGGAGTTCCTGTACTAATGGATGGGATAATATTCTGTCCAGGAGTTTGATAAGTACTGGTATAGTTAGTTGATCCTGGTGGCAAGCTAGATAGAGACAAGGGCAACATTGTTTTATAAGTATTACACACTAAAACAAAATAATTTATAATTTACACATAAAGATAAATGTTATATAATAAAAATTTCAACAGAGTAAATCATTTATAAAAATGTATATTCATTTGATTCTGATGTTTGTATGTTGCTCAAATTTTTTTCTTTTATATAAAAAACAATATGCAATACTACAGTGTGCTTCTTGTGTGGATCAAACTACAAATATAAGCAAAATGATAGCTTTTTAAAGTACTTTTTAAATCAGTACATAGTTATCCTTCATTATATCAACTATATCTTAAAAATATTAATGGTAGAAGTAAATTAAAAATATTCAACACGTACCAATTTGAATATCCAAAGACCAATGTCAAGAAAGACAAGGGAAAACTTCAACACAGTTTATATGTGGTAGTCTACATAAATTTGGGGTACATTGCCATTAGAATAAATTGACTGAAGAGGGACTCTGTCCAAAATGTATATCAACAAAGAAAACCTTAATAAAAATAATGTAGTTCATAGTTCATCTATATTCCTAAAATGGTATAATAAGTCTAGCCTTAAAAAAAGCTATCATTAAACTTATACTCATAACTATATCCAAATTGATGTGTGCTCATTAGGTTAGTATTTGACTAAAAGTAGTAATTTCTGCAATACAGTAGTAAGCAGAATAGATTATTTATATAAACTGAAATTTATTAAAACTGCTCTGTATAAATGATAAATACTTTTTTATAGTCCTATTCTTCAAGACACTCAATATATAACAAATTTACATTAAACTTATAACCTGTCATCTTGATTTTAACTTACAGAGCTGTTAGAAACATTAACACTCAAACACTTTAAAATAAGGAAAAATTTAACATTTCATTAGCACTAACAAGGTTTGATGTTAAAATTTAAAAACAAATTTCTCAAAGGTTGGTTGAAATTGGCTATGAATGTTATTTCACAATTTTTAAAAATATAATGAAAATAAAATGTAAATCAATTTTAATAATTAAAATCAGAAATATTTGTTTTTTTTTTCCTTTTTAAAAAGATTTATATCATCATCAATGTATAAAGTTATTGCAATATTTTATAACAAAAAGTACATTTTAAAGCACACACTTTTGTTTTAACAGTACTAAATAAAATATTCATGTTTAATTAATTAATTAATTAATGGACAGTACACCAAAAAATTAACAAACATTTATTTCAGAAAGATTTTTTCAGAATATCCAAAAAGATAAAATTTGCCTTTAATAATTTCATTGATTATTATTAGAACAGAGTAAGAATCATCTCATAACATACTCTACATTTTATTGTTATATTTTACTTCTTATATATTGAGAAATTTGCCTTAAATTATTTGCACAAAAATGTAGAACCTCCATTATCCGGAACTCCATTATCCGGATTTTCGATTATCCGGATTGTTCAAAATAAACAAAAAATTTTACGAATTTGCTGATTTGCATTTGGCGAATTACGACACTGTTTATGTACGTGATGGAATGCATAACTTTTTTTTTGTTTCAACAATGTCTCACCCGGCACAGTGGCCGTAAACTCTTAAATATATTTTGCGTCGTAATAAAAATATAACTTGACATACGTATTTATAAATAATTTATATTCAAATTACATCATTTCTATGACCAAGGGCGGCGTAAGGCATGGACGACGTGGGCCACCGCCTATGCCTCGCAGTCCGAAGGGCCTCGCGCCTCGAAGGTTTACGCATTACTTAAAAGCCGCGAACGCGACGAAAAAATTTTAGTCGTCATAAAACGATAAATAGTTTGTCAAATTTTTATTCATAAAAATGCAGTTTCGACTGCTTTTTATTTTATAAAATCCGTCTTCTTGCGCCATTAGAGGGCCTTTTAAATAATAGGTAGTCTGTTAGCGTTGGTCAGTAGTAGTCCAAATTCAATACGAACGTTTGTTTCTTGAAAATTTGATCACGATTTAAATACAGTATTTACTTTTAATATTACCGATATGTCATCGAAAAGAAAACGTGTTGTATTATCATTAAAAGACAAAGTATCTGTTTCGATTATCCGGATTTTTCCTTATCCGGACTACCTTCATCCCCAATTAGTCCGGATAATCGAGGTTCTACTGTATTCTTTATTTTTATTATACTGTTTTAACAATTTTTGTTTGAATAGGATTTATATTAAAAAACTTAAAATAGTACAATTGCTTCTGTAATTTTTTAAACTTTTAATGTTAGATCACCATCTACAATTCAACAAATTTAAATTTATTTATCTATGTTAAACTTGAAAATGCTCTTTTCAATCAAATATATATATATGATAATAATAATAATAAAATTATTGATGTAATCATATTTCTTACTAAAAGAAATCAAATTATTACCTGTTAAATGTAGTCATTGGATGGTTAAATAAAGGTGGATGTGAAGGCTGATTACCACTTGCAGGAGGTAAATTCATTGGTGGTACTTCATTTCCTACATGAGAAGTATTACTAGTTGGATTTGCTGTATTTGTTTGAGGTATGCCTAAATATAGGAAAAAGATTAGAATAAAAATTTATTTAGTGATTTTCAGAGATATCAGAAATAAACTCAAGAACATAAAAAATTTTATGAAAAATTATGGTAATTTTGAGCAGATAATCTACAGATTATCTGTGTTTGAAAGATGTTGAAATTTTGAGCAGCAGATGTTGAAATTTTGATTATACATGTGATTCTCAGTTTAATATTCATATTAAATTATAATATTTACTTGGTATTTACTGATATGTGTAATACAAATTTTGAGACTGCTCTGAACTTTCTTCTTAAGGTTTACTTAATTTAGAATTATTATTTTGAATCTCATGTTTTTTGTTATAAAAAAAATAAGTTATAACAATTTCACATATAAACTCATTAAAACATATATAAAAACACTTGTACTTGAAGATGCCTATATAAATAGTTGGAAATGTTTGTACTGCAATAGAACTTTCCTGCTAAACTAAAGATTGTCTTCATGAAATTATTATTTAGTTAGAAAAACAGAAAAATTATACATATAACTTTTTATATTTTTATATATTGTTTACAGTAAATATATAATTATATTACACACACCTCTATATATAAAATATTTTCTGAACTTACCAGTTGCTGGCAATTGAGATGGTAAATACTGAACCGTATTTGCAGATTGAAACGAAGGATAGTTTGCTCCTGGTGGTTGCGGTGGAAAAGAATTGGGTGGTAATGGACCATTAAAATGCTGTAGAAGATATTTTATTTTATTTTATTTTATTTAAATTTTCTAATGAAGATAAAAGATAATTCACTTACTGGAGGAAGAGGTGGATTTTGACTAGGATTAGGTGGTGGATAGTGACCATATACCATAGGAGGAGTAATATCTTTCATCAATCCATGGTACATATTTAATGCTTCCATTAATTGCTGACTTAATGATGTCAATGCTGCATGTCTTCGATCCACCTTTTCTAACTCCTGATCAATTAGAGGTCCCATAGCCACACATTGCTCTAATTATAGTAGTAATGAAAATTATTCATCAGGATATGCTAACAATTAATTTAATAATTAGCTATAAAAAACATATTACGAAAAGACTAAAAATACTGTTTAATGATAGAATTACTTTAAATTCAATGTTAAAATATAAATATTTGTGTAAGTTGAAGAATGATATGATTATAGTAATCATTTACACACACATATATTTGGACAACTGAAGAAATATTTACAAGATATAAGAATATCTAAAGAAAATTTTTTGTGAATTTTACAAAATTCTTTAAAAATGAATAGCATTTTATTACACTAAAAACTGTTACATTTTAAAATTTAATAGTTTAAATTAGATAACTACATAATAATTTTATCCTTAAAAATTTTCTTCTTATTAAGACAAATATTAACTTTTAAACAAACATGGCAACAAAAAAATGATAATTTTGTTTTCTTCTGAAAATATTTCTGTTTAATTCAGCCTATATGTTATAAGTACTGTACTTGTATTAAGTTAGTATTACATACATATATCATTTGCATTTAGGTAAATTAAAAGTTTGCTATTTGAGAATCTTATTAATTTAATAACAAATCCTTGATATAGTATTTTGTGTTATGCAAAAAATGTCCCATTTAACAGGAAAAACTACAGCAATTATATTCATTTTCCACATTTTTTTGAAAAAAAATGAAAATAAATTAAATATATGTCCTCTATTTATTATTACATAAAAAAATATTCAGAATATTTCAATCCTGAACAAATTACATTGATCAGCAAATCACAGAAAATATCTATTAATTTATTCATTTTAAGTTCATTATAAAGCATTATTGTTTTCATAAAAGAAAAGAACTTTTCAAATAAAAATACTCATCAGTATTTTATAATAAAAATTTTTTCCTTTATTTCTTTAACTTAGAATGTTTGATATTTTTTCCTGTTAAATCTGTCACAACCATTAATATATTTTGGAAAATAATTTTTTAAATGTACTACTAATTATTTGTGTAACTACTTCTTCCCTTTTAAATTAAAATTTTTTTAGGAAATACTTAAACTATGGAATTCTTAAGATTTTATAAACTATTTATAATCTCCTAAAAAAGAATTTATATGTTCTTATAAATATCTATGAAATATTAAGAATCAATATTCTAAATAATTATTGTTTTCCAAGCAGAGTATAATCTTGAAATTGACCAACTAAATTTAATAGCATGTTTTTTACTAAATCTAATAAATCACTTTATATTGAAGTTGTTATTAATATATTCATATATTAGAAAATTAATAATAATATTTTTTGCATTAATATCCTGTACAGGTGAAAAAATGTATAAAAGTAAGTTCAAAACTCAAATATTTCAAACAATAACCATCAAAAATACAAAATTTTGAAAATAATAATAATTCCATAACCTCATTAACTATTTTCTATCATTCCTCAATTATATTTTTCCACTTGTAATTAGTTTTTAATAGCATTCAATATTTTATATTTGTCAGACATCTCTGCTTTTCTGTTTCTAAAATAAAATCCACTTTTGGATCCACTTGGGTAAATATATAACTTGAAAGATTTATTATTAATTTATACTATTATTATTATTATTATTATTAATTCATCCAGTACTGCTTGCTAATAGATTTTGCAGTATCATCTTTAACAACTACAGTAAGAAATGTCAGTACCTTAAACTACTGTATTACTAGAAAGTGATTAAAAAGAACAAACATTTAAAGCCCTAGTGAAAAGCTAATAATAATAATAATAATTGCAAATTACTACACAGAGTCTAACAGTAAAAAAAAGAAAAACAGCTTTAAAATGCTTTAATTACCTAATTATGATAACTAAAANTATAAATTTATATAAATAAATAAATATTTAAAAAATAATGTTTTAATATTAAAACATCACTGAACCACCAGATTTCAAAATTTCAGAATCTGTATAATTCTTTATACAAATTCTAAAACTTGTATTATTTTCTCATACTGTTAAGGATGATTGTAACTTCTTTGGTTATGTATACAATCTCCAGCAGATGGCATTAAAAATTTCATGCTTTTTTTTTCTATGTCCTTTTCCAAAATTTCTCAATAATGGAAGCAGACAGAAACAAACAGTTTTTTTTGTATTAGAATTCTATTTAATTCTTCTATTAATGTACAGTTCAGAATTTTGAAAATCAATTTTATTAATTTTCTGCAACTTTAAAAATTCATAGAAAATTACTGAATTCAATTATTATTCATTATTTTCTTGATTAAATCAATTCATTGATATTTATTTATTTTAATTCATAAACTATTTACTATATTACAAAAAACTCTATAATACAATTAAATTAAATGACAATCTATTACAAAAATAAAACACTTCATAATCATTTTAAATTATTATTATACCTGATAATGAAAAAAATATTTAAAAAATAGACTACCTCAACTGTGAATCGCTTTTGAAATCTTCTGCCCACTTTTTTATTAATAACTTCAGTTTTTCTACTATTTTTGGATGAGCCTATCAACAAAACTTTCAATTAAATATACATTCAAAATGATCACATAAAAGTCATCTTAGAGATGATAAAAATAAGATAAAGTTTTTTAGTAACTCTTTTATTATTTGTGTTAATATATTTTTTTAATAATACATATTCATTTAAATCAGAAGTGACGAAATTTGAGGGGAAAAGTCCTTCGCCTCTATGATTAGAACCTGTCCACCAATTTGCATCACTGCAATAATACACAAAAAGTTTTGACTTTAAAAGGAAATTTTGACATAATTATTTGAATAATTATAATAATTAATAATCTTACCTATCATCAGTAACAAGAATAATTTCTCCAGCTTTAAAAGTCAATTCATTATCTTCAACAGCTTCAAAGTCATATAAAGCTCGAACTTTCCTAGGCTCTTTTTGAGGAGAAGCAACTATTGCACCAGAAGGAGAAGATGGACGTGCAGTAGGATATAAATTTGTTTTAGGTGAAGCACTTGTTTCTTTTAAAGATAGTTCAATAGCTACAAATGTAATATAAAAACTAATTAAAATCTAATTTAAAATTAAACACATAATCTGAAATTAGTTTACCATAAATTATTATTACCTTTAGCAATATCATCTTCTTCCTGTTGACTACTAACAACATTAGGATCTTTACTAAATGTTACAGTACTCTTTTTAGGCTAAAAAATAATAATAATAATAATAATTGCAAATTACTACACAGAGTCTAACAGTAAAAAAAAGAAAAACAGCTTTAAAATGCTTTAATTACCTAATTATGATAACTAAAACCAAAACTCTTTACAATAAGCAAAATTTTTATAAATGTATTTAACTTATATTTCAGGATATGCTAATTCTGTAGTATTATATGAATGAAAATATCTATAATTATAATAAGCAGTTTCTACTGTATTATCAAACAGCATGTCTTCTAACAAACACTAAAAACTTCGTTTAAAAAGCTCATTTTTAATAATCTTGTATAATTTTCTCTGTAAAATTCAATTCTACTTTCAGAAACCTTAGACTAAAACTATTAAAAACAGACTGTATTAAAAATAAAAACATTTTTCCACTTTTATTTCAGTTTTTATAACAACTTAAAGAATTTCCTGATAATTTGACAATTTTTTAAATTTATAAAATAAACTTCAAACAATTATTTATTTTTTAGAAGTTCTCAATAATTCACAAAATAATTTAAGCCAAATTTTAATCATAATTAGTTAAAACTAGCATTAATGTAGACTAAAATATTCTGTAAGTAATTTGTAAGTTTATGTTTATCTTTAAAATTTGGTCCTTGATTACACTAGATTCAATATTTCACCAATAGTTCTAATTTATCTTTGATTAACTTTTCTCATAAAATCTAATAAGGAATTATTTCTACTTTTAGATATATATATATATATGACAGATTTTTAATGTCTGTAATGGCNTGAAGAAAGTGTAACTCCACCTCCTCCTCACAACATCTGACTACCCGGCATAATTGGTGACTGCTCCATTTTCATTTTTTTTTATGGTACAGTACGGTTATTTTATGCTTTGGAACAAAGTATATGTTTTAACATGTATTTCTATGGGAAAATGCGTTTCGTATAACAGACTTTTCACTTAACGGACGTGCACCTGGAATGGATTAAGTACGTTATACGAGGCACCACTGTAAATTTATTTATATATTTATTATTAAATATCTGCAGAATAATTAATTTTATCTTCTAAACAATTAATCCAAGTATTCATTTGTTAGTAACATTAATCATAGTAAAGGAAATATATAAACAAACAAACTTACTGTTTCTTCAACATTAAAGTCAACACCTTCATTCCTCAAAGCGCAATATAAGGAAGGAATAAGACTGAAATCACATTTTATTATTATTATTAAATTGTTATTAACTTTAAATATAAATTTATATAAATAAATAAATATTTAAAAAATAATGTTTTAATATTAAAACATCACTGAACCACCAGATTTCAAAATTTCAGAATCTGTATAATTCTTTATACAAATTCTAAAACTTGTATTATTTTCTCATACTGTTAAGGATGATTGTAACTTCTTTGGTTATGTATACAATCTCCAGCAGATGGCATTAAAAATTTCATGCTTTTTTTTTCTATGTCCTTTTCCAAAATTTCTCAATAATGGAAGCAGACAGAAACAAACAGTTTTTTTTGTNGTATTTTAATTTTTTCACAAAAATGTTTAAATTTACAAGTTTATCTTTGGTTTTGGTCTTAGATACTATTTATAAAAATTCAACGTTAAAATTTAATAAATTTAAATTTACATGACAAATTTGTAAAAAAATTTTCTTGACTAATTTTTAATTCTTTTTTTGCTATTACCTTATGGAATAAATATAAATAATCAAAACAGCTTAATTTACTAATATAATTGGTATTGGTATTGGTAAATATTATTGATATTGGTAAAATAATCAAACATAACATTCTGATCTAAGTACCTAATATTAAATAGAAAGTTTAGTAATAAAAACCCAAATTTAATTATAATTTCCAAGACAGATTCCAGAAATATATTGCTTCAACCACCTGTAAAGCAAGTATATGCTCAAAACAGTGTATTTTTTAGAATGTTTTTTTTTTTTTGTCTTTCATAGAAAATTATTAAGAAAGCAAACAAGGATAAACTGATTACTGTTTCAGCAATATAAACATGCAAATTAATTCAAGAACATTATTTGAAACAAGTTAATATGGAGTTTTGGCAATATAAACATTTTTTATTTTTTAATAAAATTAAACTCTAATACTTATTATTAATAATTTTATAATCTTTTCTAGGTTGTTAAACAGAAAATACATACTTTCACAATTAATTTTCTAACTTCAGTTTCAAATTCTCTAGAACAAACTTCAAGATGAAATGCTTTTCCACAATTTTGAATACAAGCATCTAAAAGCTAAAATAAATGAATATTTCAATAATTTATTCAAAACTAGATTCATCTTTAAAATTAATGAAAAATACACAATAAATTTTGTGATATAATTAACTAAAATAAAGAAATAACATTAAAATTGATTTCTATTAACAACAGGGAAAAAAGTTACTTGAAAAGACTGAAAAAAATAGCATAATTTCAATTCTAATTACTAACTTTAAAACAATGCCAAGAAATAATTTTTAATTGCTTCTAAATTTACAATGTAAATAATAAAAAAAAATCTCTTTCTTTTATTCACTATTGCTTATAATTTTATGAGAGCAGACAGTGTGTATGTTATTTACTTTTTGTTTAATTTACTACTATTTTAATATTCAAAATTCTGTTATATTCAGTTTTGTACTTTTATTACTTTTTAACAACGAAATAGTCATAGTACACAAAAAACATTCTTAATCATTTTATCATTACAAAACACTTCTGGCTGAAACTAATTTAGCTTGAACAATAGCTTATATACTTTTTTCAGCAACACTTTAATTTCTATAAAAGAACATTTTCCACCCTTTTCATAGGTCTGCATCAGGTTTAACAAAAAGATTTGAACCGTCTTCTTAAATAGTGCGAATCTTCTTGTTAAACCTGATGCAGACCTGTGAAAAGAGTCCAAAACATTCTCTAACATGTTGCTGAAAAAGTATTTAAGGTGTTGCTCAAGTTTTTATCATTATAAATAAACATACTAAATAAAATGAAACATATTAAAAATAATTTTATCTAATATTTTTTTAATTAAAATATAATTTTGTTTAGATTTTAAACTGCTTTGTTGAAACTTTTTTGTTGAAATATTTTAGTAAACTGCCAGCCTTAATTTAAAATTGCCATCAAGTTGACCCAATACCAGCCAGATGGCAATCCTAACATCACCTTATCTCTCCTAAAATGGGACAGATAGTACCAACTGAGTACAATCTCTCATCGCTCTGGCTACACAAAATAAAAGTCCACCTTGACAGATGTCACCTCATGTATGAAGCACCATGTATTCTCTGCTTTGTAGACATGAGAGTTTCCAATAAATGAATACTTAATTGTTAATATTTAAATTTAAAAAAAACAATTTCGAATGAAGTGGGATTTGTTTAAAAGATTTGTTGCTGTCAGATGTAAAGATATGTCATTGGCTAAAGTTTATAAAATGATAATTGTAAATGACCTTCTCTCTCAGATATCCTTCATATATCAAGTTATTAATTTTTTTTTTTGGTTGAATTTTTCCATCCGATGGTTGGATTATTATTAAATATATCAAAGATAAGTCTGTCCAAGAGGGATCACCATTTATTTTGCATTCCAGACTACATATACATATTAATGGCGATGGGCCTTCATTTTTAGGCTTCGTGCCGCCAAAAGGTAAAAAAAAAGTCCTTTAAAAAATACAAACATCCAATTAAAAGTAAAAGGAAGTTTGTTTTACTTTTAATTGGATGTTTGCGTTTTTTAAAGGACTTTTTTTTACCTTTTGGCGGCACGAAGCCTAAAAAGGAAGGCCCATCGCCATTAATGTATATATGTAGTCTGGAATGCAAAATAAATGGTGATCCCTCTTGGACAGACTTGTCTTTGATATATTTAATAAAAGTTATTAAATTTCTTTTTTCACACCCAGTGCACACTGTTGTGTGTGAAAAGTTTCAGTCAGATGACATTAACAAAAACTCCAACTGGAAACTGTCCTGATATAAAAAATGTCAGTAACTTGTTAAATATCTCCATAAATGGCCCCTAAGATTAGAATTTGATTTTCATTCAGTATTTGTTGCCCAGTGTAAATCAAAACCAAGAAGAATTGTTCAATAAGGTATGATACTTGTGGGTTGTAACAATACATTTATGGTTATATTGGTAGCACAGTATACTAATAATATGCAGTATCTATTAGAATAAACTAATGTTTAAACAATACTGTGTTGTGTATTGTTCTGGGCAACCTCACGGATAAGAAATGTTAGCTACAGTAAGAAAATTTTGCTACATTTTAGTAAAATTAGCTAAATTGTTACAGAAAACATTTTCCCAGCTTAAACCCTGTGTAGGTAAATTAGAATTTTAAGCACTGTAAATCAAGCTTAGACATTCTAGGTTCAAATTAGTATTTCACAAGAAATGTAGGAACACTTACAAAGATTCAAAATATAATTTACATAATCACTATATTCAAACAAAAAATACACTAATCAAATTTTAAAATTCTGAATTCCAAAATGAAGGTCAAATAATCAACAATGCAAAGCTAAAAGAACATTAACAAAAAAGTTATCATTGAAAGGATTTCGATCCATTTTTAAATAGCCAAATCCAAATTTCTGATGCTCCAAATTTTTGAAGTGTCACTGTATTTATAAGAAAATATAACACCTAAACTTCTATACAGTGGGTGATCGGTTAACGAACATATCAAATAATGAACACTTTCACAAAAGATTTTTATGTTCGAACGATGAACACATGATTGAATAACAAACACTTCAAAGAACAAACACAAGAAAAAGCAAGCGACGTAAAATAATGAATACTGATTGGTCTTCCCTCCCTTGTCTTCAGACAACAATTCGAAACTTTTTGGAGCTCGGGAGACATTGACATCGATGCTCAACCCGGTATATATTGATCGGATAGTATTCCTCCAAACTTTGAAACTCTTCCTTGTAATTCCAGCCTTTTATTTTTCTGACAGAAACAAT